TCTCTTCTATTCTACATCCTATTCTCTTCTCTTCTCTTCTACATTCTCTTCTCTTCTCTTCGACATTCTCTTCTCTTCTACATTCTATTCTATTCTATTCTATTCTACATTCTCTTCTCTTCTACATTCTCTTCTCTTCTACATTCTCTTCTATTCTCTTCTACATTCTCTTCTCTTCTATTCCTAGTCCTTCTGTTCTCTAGACCAGGGGTTTCCAACTTTAGCAACTTTAAGATTTGTGGACTTCAACTCCCAGAATTCCTCGCCAGCTTCGCTGGGTGAGGAATTCTGGGAGTTGAAGTCCACAAGACTTAAAGTTAGCAAGGTTGGAGACCCCTGCTCTAGACTAGCCATACATGCGTATGAGAAAAACAGACAGAGCTTAGTTCACACCACCAAGGGGTTGATATTTCTTTTTAATCACACCCAGTCGATGCGCCTGAAAAAAAAACTTGAGCATAAATGGCTTTTATTAGCTTCCAGCAAGCCGTGTATCCCACTGTGACATGATAACCGAAGTCGACTGGGAAGCCCGATTCGCTTAACGGCTGTGTGGCTAATTTAACAGTTGCAGTGATTCACTTAACCACCGTGGCCAGAAAGGTTGTAAAAAGGGGGCAAAACTCACTTAACAACTGCCTCGCTGCGCGATGGTCCCAATTACGGTCGTAAGTCGAGGACTACCTGTATTACCAGGAGTGGGAATCAAATTTTTTAACAACCGGTTCTGTGGGCGTGGCTTAGTTGGTGGGTGTGGCTTGGTGGTCATGTGACGGATGGATATGGCTTGGTGGTCATGTTATTGGATGGGTGTGGCCAACTCAATATTACTCACATCAAGGCACGATATCCTCACCTGGTCACTCATGACTGTGGGGATTCTGCAACAGTCATAAGTGTGAAAAACAGTCATAAGTCACTTTTTTCAGTGCCATTGTAACTTTGAATGGTCCCTCCACACAAGCAAAGTACCAGCAAAGGAGGGAAAAAGAAACTCCAGAGACGTTCCTGAGACAGGAAGTCTAGTCCTGCCAAGAATGTAATAAGGGTTAACGGAGAGGCAGTTTCTGTAAGCAACCCCAGAATGTTTCCTTCCTGCCTTCCTTACAGGATTAGCCCTGTAATTTCTTCTAACAACCGGTTCTCCGAACTGCTTAGAATGTTAACAACCGGTTCTACCAAATAGGTGCAAACTGGTAGTATCCCACCCCTGTGTATTACCCCTTGATTGGCTGCCCGAAAAGTCTCTGCTCCACCAGGGTCTGGCTTTACCTTCTTCAGGTCCGATGAGCGCAGCCCTTCCTGGAGCTGGTGGGCCAAGGGCAGGACCGCAGTGGCACTGACCCGCTGGTAATGAGAGTCCGAAACCTGGTCCAGGCGTGGCCGCTTGGAGTCCAGCGCATCGTGGTCGGCTTGGGAAGGGCCAGCGTGGAACTGGGACTCGTAGCCCGATCTCCTCTCCTGAGGCCTGGAGGAAGAAGAGGAAGGCAAAGAGGGGAGAGTGAGGAAGAAGCTCAGAGCTGGGGAGAGGGGAAAAAAAAACAGCCAGAGCTGCCCCGATCCGAGGTCTCCCTAAACCACCCAAGAAAAATTTAAACGAACAAACCCAAAAAATTGTAATGGATAGAAGAGAATATTTATAGCTCAGGGTTGAATCGTGGGGTCTTGGGGGCTCTATGAGCTTGGTTGTTTTCTAGCAGATGGTTTATTACCCAACATCATCAATGCTAGAAGGGAAGGGGGTTTAGGAAGAGAAGTGAAGAAATAGGAGGGACAGGAGGAGGAGGAGGAGGAGGAGAACTGTGGTGGTCCTTGATGCTCCCTGAACTTGGTGGTTTCCTTGCAAACGTTTCTTTACCCAACTAGGTAACATAATCAGTGTTAGAAGGGAAGGAGGCTTGCAGGGAGGAGGGGGAGGAGGAGGAGAAGGAGGAGGAGGAGGAATGGGAGAAGGGGGGTGGGGAGGAGAGGGAGAGGGGAGGAGAAGGAGGAGGAGAGTGCGATCTTGGTTCTCCCTGAACTTGGTTTCCTTGCAAACGTTTCTTTACCCAACTACGTAACATCATCAATGTTACAAGAGAAGGGGGTTTATGGAAAGGAGGAGAGGAGAGGAACAACAGCAGCAGCAGCAGCAGCAGGAGGAGGAGGATGACAACTGTGGGGTCCTTGGTGCTCCCTGAACTTAGACATTTTCTTGCAGATTGAAGTAGGTGACATCATTAATGCCAGGAGGAGGAGGAGGAGGAGGGGGAGGGGGAGGAGGAGGAGGAGAACTTGGTGCTCTGAGTTTGGGGGTTTTCTTGCAAACATTTCACGACCCAACTAGGGAACATCATCAGTGCTAGAGGAGGAGCAGTTGTCTTGGTTCTCTCTGAGCTGGGTGGTTTCCTTGCAGACATTTCTTTATCCAGCTAGGGAACATCATCAATGCTAGAAGGGAGTGGGGTTTATGGAGAGGAGGAGGAGGAGGAGGAGGAGGAAGACTTTGAGGTCCTTGATGCTCTCAGAACGTGGTGGTTTTCTTGCAGACAATTAATTTAATTAATAAACTAAGTAACATCATCAGTGTAAGAAGGGATTTACTTACCATGGCTTGTCCTGTCATGTTCGTGAAGATGTTATTTTTATCCTTGGAAATGGGGTTGTCGTTTATTGTAGCCAATATAAACAGAGAGCAAACTGCACTCCATTCTAGCCCTGATGAAGTTACCTAGTTGGGTCATGAAACAGCTGCAGGAAAACCACCAAACTGAGACCACCAGGGGCCCACACTCCTCCTCCTCCTCCTCCTCCTCACACCCATTGCCTTCTAGACCTGACGATGTCACCTAGTTGGATAACCAAACCGCTGCAGGAAAACCACCAAACTCAAGAGAGCACCAGGGACCCCATAGTCCTCTTCCCTCTCCTCCTAACTCCCCCTTTTCCCTTTCTCCTCGCAAACCACTCCTCCCTTCTAGCACTGCTATTACCTAGTTGGGTCACAAAACTACCAAACTCAGGGAAGCATCCAGGACCCCACAAAAAGCTGCCACTAATAAGAGGGGCTCGCCCCCAATGCTAACACCGCCCTCTTGAATCACACCTCACCCGGCACCCTGCCTGGAACAAGGACAGACTCGGAGCTCATCTAAAATAATAATAATAATAATAATACCAATAGCCGCAGAGAAAACACCAAAGCTTACCGGTCTGAGCCAGGATGAAATTCGGAGAGCAAAGAGGGCCGGCGGCGGAGCTGCTGCTGCTGCTGCTGCTGCAGAAGTTGGCTACCCTGGCCGACTTCCAAGTGAGACGTGCGGAAATCCGGGACCGCAAACTCCTATGAAGGAAAGGAAGGACAGGAAGGGCCGTTAAGGGCAGAGGGAGGCATCTCAAGGCAAGACCAAACAGAATGAGACCCGAGACCAGGTCCACCTTCTCTGGAGGGATCTCCACGAACATCTGGCCCTCCTTCTGGTGGCAGAGGTCTTCTCCAACATCCCCCGGCTTTAGAATAGCGTTTCCCAACTTGATTTAAATTTACTGAACAATTTATTTATTTATTTATTTATTTATTTATTAACTTTATTAAAATTTTATTTCAAAATAAACCCATCTTTCAGTTACACAGTGTGTGTGGACTAGGTACATATATCTTGTGCGCAAGTATTTATTTATTTTTACAATTTTTTTTTTATTTTTTTTTTATTTTTATAAACACATCGTTGTGTGAACGGTGTGGTTCCAGGGAGTTTTACATTTTGAAACAAACATGACAATAATTCCACTTGGCTATTATTTTTCTTACATCATTTGATATTAATACATATTATTGTTTTAATTATTTAATATTCTCATACCCTATTTTATATCAATCTCTATATTCTTAACATCATTTCTTTTGTCATAGCTTCTATATTGATAGTCATATGTGCAAGTATTCAACAAACTGAATATACCTATCCAGATTGTTTGACTTGTACAAGTATTTATATTATGTATACATTTACTAGGATTACACTCAGAATATCATTCAACTTCTTACTTTATTTTCCAACCATTTATAAAGTAAATCTCGTATCATATAATAGTCCGCTTCTTCTTGTTCTTTAATTGCCAATGTTAATCTACTCATTTCTGTACTTTCCAATATTTTCATAATCACCTCTTCCTCTATCGGAAACTTTTCATTTTCCCAGTTTTCAGTAAATACAATTCTAGCTGCTGTTAATATACGTATGATGAAGTATGTTTTTTTCTTTACTATAGTTTTCGGGTAAAATCCCCCATAAGAATATCTCTAGTTTTTAAATCTGTGTGTTGTTTTATCATCTTTTCCAACCGTGTGTTTATTTTAGTCCAATATCGTTTAGCTTCTGTACATGTCCACCACATATGGTAGTATGTTCCAGGCGTCTGGTGACATTTCCAACTTTTCGCTGATTGTGCTTTTTTTTTCCTTTGAAGACGTTTCGTTTCTCATGAGCTTCGGTGGCGCAGTGGTCAGAGTGCAATATTGCAGGCCTACTTCTGCTGACTTGTCGGTGCCTGCAGTTTGGCAGTTCAAATCCCACGAGGCTCAAGGTGGACACAGCCTTCCATCCTTCCAAGGTGGGTAAAATGAGGACCCAAAATTGTTGGGGGGGGGGGCAATAGGCTGGCTCTGTAAACCACTTTGAGAGGGCTGTAAAAGCATTGTAAGACGGCATATAAGTGCTATTGCTATTGGACTCTGAGCATAGCGGGAAAGGGAAGGATTTATGTTCCTTGCAGACAGCTGGTCATTTGCATCCTTTTTAGGGAGCCGTTGAGGCCACTTGGAGGTTAATCCATTTTCTCAGGGTCACCTGAGTGGTGCAAAGGGGTATGAAGCCTATTGTAACGCAGACCTCTCAATAATTCCAAGAAAGCTCCACACCAATCTGCACTACTCAGGAGACCCCGAGGACATGGATAAACCTCCAGGTGGCCTCAACAACTCTCTAAAAAGGATGCAAATGACCAGCTGTCTGCAAGGAGTATAAATCCTTCCTTTCCCAACCAGCCTATCAGAGCTGAAAAAGCTTCTTGGATGAGAAGCAAAATATCTTCCAAAGACAAAACCACCACCACCAGAAAAGTCCAGTTGCCTCTTGGGGAAAAAAAAACAAGCTTTGGGACTGGTTTCGGTTAGAAAATGCTTATTCCATTTACAGATTAGTCCTCCACTTAATAGTTTCAACTTATAACAGTACAGGTGGTCCTTGACTTACAATGGTTTATTTCGCGACCAATCAAACGGTTACACTGCTCTTGCAATTGACAAGTCACTGAAAAAAGTGACTTTGACCCCGGGATGGGATTCAAAAAAATTTTTTAACAACCGGTTCTGTGGGCATGGCTAGGTGGGCGTGGTTAGGTGAGCGTGACCATGTGACTGGGTAGCCGTGGGTTTTGGGGTTGTTGTTTTTTTTGCCTTCTGAGACTTAGGGAAGCCTCCGGGGGGGGGCATTTTTGCTCCCAGAAAGCTTCCTTGGGGCCCAGGAAGGCAAAAAATGGAGCACCCCCTCGCACCCCCTCCATTTTTTGCCTTCCTGGGTCTCAGGGAAGCCTCCTGGGCGAAGGAGTAAGACAGCGAGGGGGATCCTGGCACGGCTGATCATCAGAACAGCTGATCGTCGGGAGGGGAAAAAATATCTTAAGGACTGACTGGGCGGGGAGAGGAGGGACCAGCCAGGGGCACAATTTGCTGGTTCTCCAGAACTGCACAGAATCGTAACAACCGGTTATATAGAACCGGTCCGAACCAGTAGAATACCACCCCTGCTTTGACTGTTTTTCCACACTTACGACCGTTGCAGCGTCCCCATAATCATGCGATCCCAATTCAGACTCTTGCCAACTTTGATTCATCCTGATGACCGTTGCGGCGTCCCGGAATCGTGTGCTTTCCACCACCCCTTTTGCGACCCTTCGGATGACCCAACCGGGGGAATGCCAGGTTCGCTTAACAAGGGCAGCGATTCGCTTAACAACCGTGGCAAGAAAAATCGCAAAACGGACATCGCTTTCTTGCTTGGCCACAGAAGGGGCGTTGGGACTTACCTGGCACGCCCTTTTCTCTGTGAGCTGTTCAGAGCATCCATTGTTTGGGGGGGGGATGATGCTTCTGTCGCTCGTTTGATAGGCTGGGCTTTAATTGGGAGGACCCTCCTCCTCCTCCTCCTCCACGGGACTCCTCCCCAGCGTCCCCAGTTTTGGCGAAGTCGAAGCGATGAAATATTTCTTCTCCTTCACCCTTTCTAATACTTGGCCGGAATAGCATCCCACCAGACGAATAAAGGTGGGGATGGATGCTCTTCACGAGAAAGGGCGTGTCAGGTAAGTACCAACGCCCCTTCTCCAGATGAGCTGTTCAGATCATCCATTGTTTGGGGCACACCAAAGCTTGGCGTGTCCTACGGGAGGGCTTCCGTCTGGTTCGGATTCCCCTTTTTCTTGGTCCCTTATGGACCCTTTGTAACACTCTCCTGTCAAAGGCAGCCTCCGTAGAGGCGAAGACATCATTCTAATAGTTTCTAAATAAAAGGCGATGGTGGGGCCCATGTTGTCGCCTTGTAAATGTTCGCTATTGGCGCTTGTGGCCCATGTTGTCAACATCGCAGCGCTCCAGGTCAAATGAGCAGTGATGCCCCTGGGTACAGGAAGAGAATTGTGTCTCGTAGGACTTGGGAACTGTGCTCTCAGCCACTTACTGGTCATTGAGGAAGGGGTCTTGCACCCAACGGTGGGTGGTTGAGAAGAAACGAAGAGAACCTTTGTTTCCTAACACACATCGGTGCAGTTGAAATATATGCAGAAAGCTCGCCTTACATCTAGACTGCGGCATTGTCGTGCCAGATTTCATGTCGGTTTCAGACAAATGTACGGGAGTATCAGTTCCTATGGTCTGTGGAAACCCAAAATTTATCTATGGGTGAAAGATGGATCTGGACTAAGGACCACTTTGTCTGTGTGAAAAATACAGAGCTCCTGTCTAACTGACAAGACTACTAGATCCAAGATGTAACTGGCCGACGTCATGGCAACCAAGAGAGCCTCCTTGTACGTTAGGAACGGAGACGCATGGTCTACATGGGCTCAAAGGGAGTTTTCTTGAGTGCGGTCAGGACCTTGTTGAGGTCCCACGTGTGATCTCAATGCACTACAGGATGCCGTAAGATTGTAGCCCCGTGCAAGAAAACGGCCTAGGCGTGGGTGATGAGAGATGGACTGCAAGTCTCTCCTAGTGATGACCGATGCTAAGGCCTCCCCTTTGCCTGTTGATATGAACAAGATAATAATGAAACGTCATATAAATAACCCTGCCGTCTAACAGGTGTTCCCCTGAGATGGACAGCCAGAGCCACCAGAACCTTCGTAAGAACCTTGGGCAGGTGACAACCCAAAGGACAGTGCAATGCATTCAAAACGTTGAGTATTACAACAAAAACTAAGAGGTTTGCTATGTGAGGATCTAATTGGAATGTGGGCATGGGCCTCCGTTAAGTCAACGGAGGGTAGAAAATCGCCCCTTCTGAAGCTCAGAAGTATGGAGTTCAGTACGCTCGTCTTAAGCCTCCTGTGAACTAGGGATCGATTAAGTCATTTGTAAAACTAAAATTGCCCCTGCTGATTTGGTGCCACAGGTCGGTTGCCTGGATCTCCAATAAATGAACAATAGCTGTCTCCATCGTGCTCCCTTTAACGGGATCCCCGGAGAGAAGGCAAGTAATGCAAAGGTTCCGGGGAGAGGAGGGAAATTCTGTAGCCAGGCCGAATCTTCTGATACCTCTAACCCAGGAAACAGAGGTAGAGGCATCCCATCTGTCCGTCAAAGGCTTGAGCCTTCCACCAATAGGGGCACAGTCGTGAGGCCTATGTTGTGCCTATTTCATGTTCCTCAAGAGATACTCTTGCTCTGCCCTCCCCTTCAGTATCTATCTCCAGATCGGAAACTATCTGACTGTTGGTGATTCATGCGTCCAGACGGTCCCTGGAGTCTGGAGAGGAAAAAGTCCCTGGTAGAGGGAACAAAAGAACCTTCCAAAAAGCTGGGAAGGACTATTTTTGGGGTCTATGAAAAGAGAAGAACTTATTTTCCGCTTCTAGTCTCTATCAGTGATAGGTCAGGGGCACCACCGATGTCTGCTTGCCAATGTCTGAGCCATAGCAGTCGGCGAGGAGTAACCTGAGATGCCCTGGCTTGAGCAGATAATTTAATAAGAGTTTTGCAGCGTCCTTGTGTGCCCTGATATTGGAATTTGAGATAATCTCCCTCAGATGGCGGACAATCTAGTAAAAAAAAGGGGGGGGATGAGGCCGACTCCACTCTTATGGCCCTCACATCAGATCGACATACATGGGGACAACTCGGCCCTGTATATCCTTTGACTTGAGAGCCTCTTCTGCTTCCGTTGGAATTGCAGAGGAGGAGGATAATTGCCATTATTGTTTTATCTGCTATCGTGGTAACGAGAAATTTAGCAGAATGAGAAAACCAAATTAAAAATTTGCTATCATACCCTGTAAGAGGGGTATACGCCACTGCAGAGACCCCTTGTTTCCGGACGAGGTCCAAGAACCACTGTGGGACAGTTATGACTTCCTCTTACATTATTGGTTGGGAGAAGATTAAATCATCTGACACACACACCCCTTATAGTAACGATTGTTGGGCCGAGGGGAAATGGAATATCAAAGCAGGAAGTAGTTTGTTTTTTTGAAACAACAGAGACTTGAAAAAAAAGTCTTGAGGGCGAAACAGATCTGAAGGTCGGTGGTCTGGCTTAATGCCTTCAATGTTTGACATGCCCTCCCTTTTTTAGGGGATCCGCCTCTGACAGATTTTGGTCACTGTTGTGAGTAGACCCTTCCTCAACCTGTTCCATCTGGTCTCTAGTTCTCCCTCATCCTGTGCATCGTGTGAATGTGTAACTGGATTATATAATACTCCCCTGAAGGAGGTACCTGCTGGTAACGAAGGTCTGTTCTGCATAGGAACTAAATCGAGTGAGAATCGAGGTCAGATTGTGGAGGCTGCCTAGCCGTCAACTTCTACCGTGCTCCGGCTGCGATGCCTCTTCAAGTGGCCATGTCCCTTCCAGGCCTTCAATTTGTCAGGGATATCCTCTGGGAGGAGGAATTCTGGGGTGGTCCTACAACTGTCTGTCAGGCAAGTAGCGCTGCTGAAGGCCTGGGTTGAACCGGTCTCTCTGAGGCTCTCCTGGATGGCATCGAGAGACCCAGGGATGGAGGCAAGGTGAAATAGGGAACACTTCACAAATTTGCGTGTCATCCTTGCGCAGGGGCCATGCTAATCTTCTCTGTATCATTCCAAGTTTAGTATACGTGCTGCTGAAGCAAGCACTCCGGAACTGGGATCAGCCTGGCTGGGGAAGAGGACTGAGACTTCTGTTCAACCTCCCTCATGCATTTATTTTTATTTTTTTTAATTTAAGATATGCTCATCTAACGCATTTTGATGTCTCTTGGCATCCTTTGTTGCCTTAGAGGTCTCTCTAGGTTGGTTTATTGTCCTCTGGGGGTATTTTTGGTTGCCTTTGAAGATTCTGACCTAAAGCCCACAAGGTGAGATATCTATATCTATGTGGGTCTTTGGTTATTCGGGTTTTCTCCCGCGTAAGATTGGAAGTATCTAGGCAACGTTTCAATGAAGTCTCATTCATCATCTTCAGGCTTGTGTCTTCGGCTCTGTGCTTCTCAGAGTGATGTGAGCTTGCAGCTGCTTCTTCCTTTTAACTGCTAGTGGGGGTGTGACTTGATTGGGTGGGGGCTTGGCTGTGTTCTGATTGGGTGGGGGTGTGTTCTCATTGGTTGGGGGTTTGGCTGTGTTCTGATTGGTTGGGGGGTTGGCCGTGTTCTGATTGGCTGGAGGTGTGTTCTGTTCAGGTGGGGGCTTGGTTGTGCTCAGGTTAGTCTTAGTTGCTGGGGGATTTGAGCTGGTGAGCTGTGATCCTGCTGTTTGGCTTCGAGTTCGTGGTCGTGCCGCATCTTCATGGTGGGGGTCAGTTCGCTTCATGTATGGCTCGGAGGGGTTTGAAGCGGGTAGTGATGCAGCTGCGGTGCGGCTTCTGGTCCGTGGTCGTGTCTCATCTTCTGTGTGGGTGTGAGTCTGCTTTCTACGTGGAAATGTGGTGGTAGCATCTTGTGTGGCCCTCGTGGGTGTGGGTCTGGTGTCATTCTTCATGTTAGGTACTCGTCTGTTTGTGAGGGCGGGTTTCCAAATGGCTGGTAGGCGTATCTATGTATCTATATGTGTAGGTATATCTATGTATCTATATGTGTATGAGATATTAATGGACTGTTGACTGGTTCAGAGGACTGATATAAACAGAGGCAGGGAATCCTCTTGATATTTGCTCCCCCCACTCCATTTTTTGGTAAATTCAATTTATTATGTTATTATTCATAATAATATTGATATCATTAATATTGTTATTATTGATAATATTTTTGTTATATCTGTGCACAGCTACTAACATAAATTGTTGTGCTGTTACCAATCTCATCATTAGATGACTGACTATGGAATCAAATTGTGAGGCCAAACAGAGAACACCTTTCAGGACCTCTATTGCAACTGGGTGATCCTGCAGTCACTGGCGCTCAACAGCTTCCTGCCCAGACGGACACAGGCCTTGGCGCTCGCTGTTGCTGTGCTGCTGGAATTCTGCGAGGGCTGCCAACTGAAAAAGGAAGCCCAATAGTCAACCTCAGAAAGCGGTCCGTAATCGGCATAAATGTCCCCTGGACCCTCACGGAGATCCTTGTGAGGGGAAGTGGCTTCTCAACAGATAATGCCATGGAATTCTTATAAACAAAATGATGCCGGCGTTGTTTCAGTCGTCAAGATGCAGCATCAACCATCACCTTTTAATGTGAGCCGATGCGAATCTAACTAGAATTTGAGAATTTGAGCAGGAGAACTCAGAGTCCTCTGGCTCTACCCGATCAATAGCCCTTCCTTCTTCTAAATACCTTGCGGGAGTATATCTGAAACTACAGAATCTCCTATGGAGAGATACCTGAGGGTAAGGATGCTCTGTCCTGCTTAGTGACCGGAGTTATAGGGAATTCCAGTCAGAAGGAGCGCTCCGTTGTTCAGAGCAGCATGCTGCACCTCCGCAGAGATACGTTGGCGTATTGCTAATTCCATTCACAGTCACATCTTTGTGAGGATCTTTTCCGGTAAGTCATCATCTTGACAGAATCTGGCCGCTGTTGGAGCAAGGTGGCCACAGAGTCACTTCGAGTCACTTGTATTGATCTAGATGGGCTCCCTGATCTTGTGCAGCTGCGCTGAGTCTGGATTACACAGACAGATTCAGGGGTGGTTGCAGACGGGGATTGGAGCCGAAGTAGGCCTGGAGGAGATGAGGTTTGAGAATTTTCTTCATCCTCCCACGTGAACTTCTTCACGTGTTTTTCTAGTACCTTATGGCGCTTGTTGGCGTCTTTTTCTGCTGCTTAGGAGATACACTTAGAATGCTTTCAATTTGTTTTGAGAATTTGACACGGCCCTTGAGCTACTGCCGCTTGCCATGGTGACCACTTATTAAATTTTACTGTTAATGAGGCTGAAATGTTGGGCGGTTGGCATGGCCAGGGGCCTGAACCAGCAATGGCCAGGGAACCCTAAAACAATGCTCCCCAGTTTTGTATAAGCTTATGTAAGAATACTGAATCCTTATTCTTGTTCCTATTATTATCGTTATTATTATTTTGTTATTATTATTATTATTATTATTTCCGAATTAGCCAAATTAGGAACACCTCATAGGCCTAGAATTGTTGAAATAAGATGTAGGCCTGCGACAGCTTCCTGCACAGGCGGACATGGGCCTTGGTTCTCGCTGTGGTGCTGCTGTTTAATTCTGTGAGGGCATAAGCCAACAGTTTCCTCCTTAATGAATAAGGGTCCAAAATAGAATAATTATATCTGAATATCTATCTATCTATCTATCTATCTATCTATCTATCTATCTATCCACATACACATACACATGCATATGTATTAGGGTGATTTCTCTTGGGTTCCAGGAAGGAGACCCCTGCTTGGGGAAAGAAAAGCCTCTCACAGTTCCAGAAATAAAATGCAGGTCACTACCGCCTGGTTAGTGAGTCCGCAATGGCACCAGCCGTTATCTCTTTAGGCGCGTAATGAGTTAAAATCGGCTCAGCAGCACTTCCACGCCTTGTGGGGAGTCGAAACTGCAGAGTTTCCCCTTGAATAAAAAGGCGCGGTGGGGCAGATGGGCGCTGATGCCCCCCACCCCAGACGGTGTTCCCAAGGCGGGGGGGGGGGAGCCTCGGACCCTTTTAAAATGGAGCGTCTCCCGTCGGGTGCGGGCAGCGGCGATCGTAGCGGCTCGGCTTATCACCTCCGATCGTCCTGGGGGCGAGAGATCATTATCTGAAGGTACGGTGAGCTCCCTTGGCTTGAGTTATATATCGTAGGGAGCTGCTTGACTCATTGAAACTCAAAGCCTTAAAGGAGTAGTTGTTTAGAGTTGAAAAGCAAACCTTTTTGTTGTCTCCTTTTGAAGCCTTTTGCTATTCCGGCCAAGGGAAAGGAAATTAAGCTGCCTATATCCACGAAGGCTGAGCAAAAAACTGGGGACGCTAGGGAGGAGTCCCGTGGAGGAGGAGGAGCGTCCTCTCAATGAAAGCCCAGCCTATCAAACGAGCGACAGAAGAAGCATCATCCCCAAACAATGGATGCTCTGAACAGCTCATCTGGAGAATTTCGGGTTCAGTTGTCGTTGTACGTTAAGGACCCCCCTTATATGTAGAAGACAGGAATCCTGGAGCAAGCCCTGCAGGATTGCCCAGAATCTCATCCCACCCACCCACCCCCCGGGGCCCTGTACTACTTGCCTGCTGGTGCCGGCCACTGGGAAAGGTATACTGGACCGAATGCGCCGGGTATCGGCCCTGCTCCGTGCTGAACGCACCCTGGTTGGGAGGGTAGCTTGAGCTGGACATTGTCGTGGGTGTTTTTTGCAAAGTTGTGGGATCAAGAGTGCTGGGCGACCAAGTCTCCAGGAAACGGCCTAGGAAGAACCAGGGGAGTGTTAGGAAGCCCCCAAGACCCGGGGGAAACAAAGTTCTTGTCCTTTTTTTTCTTTTCTTTTAAATCCATTGGGCATACCCAGGTTCCAGGATTAATTTATGGTTCCTTACCGTGAAAATATTGAAAATGCATATGGATAGATCAAAAGACAGGTATGGGTAGATAGATAAACAGGAATATAAGATATGGATGGATGGATGGATGGATGGATGGATGGATGGACGGACAAGGAGAAATAGAGGAGAGAAATGTAGGTAGGTAGGTAGGTAGAAATATGGATACAGACAGACATGGATAGAGAGAGAGAGAGAGAAAGAGATGGAGATATAGAGAGATAAAGAGAGATAAATGGAAATAGAGATTGAGAGAGAGAAATAAAGATATAGAGATGATAGATGATACAGACGATACAGACAGATGGAAATAGAGACAATAGAGATAGAAATGGGCAGATAAATGATAGAAGATGATATGATAGGAAGCCAAAGATAGATATAGACAAAGAAAAAGACATAGAGATGATGGACGGATGTATGGAAGGACAGAAAGAAAGAAAGAAAGAAAGAAAGAAAGAAAGAAAGAAAGAAAGAAAGAAAGAAAGAAAGAAAGAAAGAAAGAAAGAAAGAAAGGAAGGAAGGAAGGAAGGAAGGAAGGAAGGAAGGAAGGAAGGAAGGAAGGAAGGAAGGAAGGAAGGAAGGAAGGAAGGAAGGAGGATAGATAGATAGATAGATAGATAGATAGATAGATAGATATAGATATAGATATAGATATAGATATAGATATAGATATAGATATAGATAGGTAATTACAAAGAGAAATATGGTTAGAAATAGACGATAGATGCAGAGATGATAGAAATATAGAGATGACAAAGAGATGATAGAAATGGATGGATGGATCTATGGATGGACAGACAGACAGACAGACAGACAAATTACAGAGAGAAATAGAGTTAGAAATAGAGAGGAAAGCCGCAGAGATGACCAAGAGATGACAGACAAGAAATGGATGGATGGATGGCAGAGAGACAGGCGGACAAGATCACCTCCACACAAAGCTCTACCGCTAAGCTACCTTCCCACCAAGCTGGGAAGCAGAACCAGATGGAGAGGCAGGCGTGCCCCCCCCCTGCACCCCCAGTAATACCCCAAAGGCATTCAAGCAAAGGGCCAAGGAAGAGTATGATCCAGATGCCCGGCAGGGGTGCCTCTTCCACACGGAAGGTGAGCCAACATCAGGACAGAAGGCGATGCAGAGAAATCTTGCCCATTGCTCAACTCAGCAAGTGGGCCGTCTGGGGTCCTGCTGGGTTCTGGAGAACAAATGCTACAACCTCGACCAGTGACCCTGCTAGTTGGGTCTTAATGAGAAATACAATCCAAATTTGGGAGGAGGAGGAAGAACGCCCCACTAACATGCCCCGTTAACAGATGCCACTGAATTTCGGTACTACAAAATAAAAATAAATAGGGAAGAGAAGGGCCAGGGGAGACAGGAGAGCATCTTCCAATACTTGAGGGGCTGCCACAGAGAGGAGGAAGGGGGTCAAGCTATTCTCCAAGGTGCCTGAAGGCCAGACAAGGAATAATGGACGGAAACTGAACAAGGAGAGATTCAACCTGGAAATAAGGAGAATTTTCTGACAGAGAGAACCATCAACCCATGGAACAGAAGTTGCCTTCAAAGGTTGTGGGAGCTTCATCCCTGGAGGCTTTCAAGAAGAAACTGGACTGCCATCGGTCAGAAATGGTGTAAGGTCTCCTGATTGGGTGGAGGGGGGTTGGACTGGATGACCTACAAGGTCCCTTCCAATTCAGTTAATCTGTAAAACCACCGACACAAAAATGGCAGGTTGATCTTCCCCTATCTTGATCACTGGTAGCGAGCAGGAAATGAAATGTTTTTGGATTTGAAAAAGGTTTCAAGTTCAAAATCCCGTTTCTCGCTTCAAAACAGCTACTCTGATCATCCCGGAAGGGCATTGAGTATGAAACTATCTCACTAGAAGCTCAAAATACCCGTTTCAAATTCAAGAATATTTCCTTTATGAGTGAAACAGCCTTTAAGCAGGGGGGGGGAAAAATCCCTACTTAAAATTCAAAATGTTTTGCATACTGTTATGGTTGGCCAGCAACTTGTGTTGCTAAGTCAGATTTTCCAACCTTGTTACTGAATCCTTCCCTTCTTCCTCCCTCCCTCCATCTTTCCTTCAAATTCCTTCATCTTTCCTTCTTTCCTTCAGCTTCATTCCTTCTTCCCTCCCTCCCTTTTTTCGTTCAACTTTTTCTCTTCCTCCCTCCCTCCATTCATCTTTCCTTCAACTTCCTTTCCTACCCCTTTCCTCCTTCCTTCTTTCCTTTCTTCCTCTCCCTTCTATTTTTATTTCCTTCCTCCCTCCCTCCCTTCATCTTTCCTTCTTTCCTTCAATTTCATTCCTCCCTCCCTCCTTTTCCTTTTTTCGTTCAACTTTTTCTCTTCCTCCCTCCTTCCATTCATCTTTCCTTCAACTTCCTTTTCTTCCCCTTTCCTCCTCCCTTCTTTCCTTTCCTCTTCCCCCCTCCCTTCCCCTTCCATTTTTCTTTCCTTCCTTCCTTCCTCCCTCCCTGCATTCATCTTTCCTACAACTTCCTTCCATCCTTACTTCCTTTCCTCCCTCCCTTCATTTTTCCTTCAACTTCCTTCCACTCCCATCTATCCATCCATCCATCCACCCATTCATTTTTTGTAGTTGCCCAAGGGATTCTGGGCTGTTTACAAGTCTAAAATTATAAAACAGTGAAAACAATAAAAAATATCCAAAGGAGGCATACAGCAGCCGAGATAGTTCAGCAACTAACATGAATGCCAAAAAAACTTGGCCCTTAACACATTTTTAGTTCTCCACCAATTTCAGCCACTCGTTTTAAAAATGGTTAAAATTTACAACAGCCCTGGAAGAAGTACTCACACACGTATAACCATCTGAGCATGTGATCAAAATGTGGATACAGGCAGTCCTTGACTTACAACAGTTCATTTAGTTACCGTTTGAATTTACGGCAGTGAAAAAAGTGACTTGCGATCGTTTTTCACACTTACGACCGTTGCAGCATCTCTGTGGTCACGTGGTTTTTATTCAGATCTTTGGCAACCGACTCCTATTTATGATGGATGCCCTGCCCCGGGGTCACATGATCACCTTTTGCGAACTTCTGGCAAGCAAAGCCAATGGGGAAGCCAGATTCACTTAACAACCGAGTTACACAACTTAATAATTGTGCTATTACCGTATTTTCCCGAAAATAAGACCGGGTCTTATATCCATTTTTGCTCCAAAAGATACATTAGGGCTTATTTTCTGGTTAGGTCTTATTCTCAGGGAAATACAATAATTGAATAACAGTATGAATTCACTAAACCAGGGTCCGCCAACCTTTTGTACCTCAGGGACCACCAAACTCATCATTTTAAATCCCGCGGACCAGAGACCCTGGGAAAATCCCCCCCCAAAAGTCTGCAGGAAAATCCCCCACCCCGTTTTCCTACCGATCAATCGTTCTTCATTTGGGATCGCAGGATACCGTCTCCAGCTCCATTCTCATGGGGAGAAAGAGAGAGAGAGAGAGACTTTGGGCTCCATGCAAGCAGAAGAAGGAAGAAGCGGAAAGAAGCAGCCCGGTGGCCGGGCCAGGCACGTGGGACGAGAGGGGCAAGTTCCCACTCTCCGCCCTTTCCCCCCTCCCCTCACTACGTCGTGGTGTTTGCAATGCAAGCGACGCAAGCCTTGTGTTCCAATGGGCCATGTGGGCGGCGCAGCCTTGTGTTCCCGCACAACCTGGATTAATTGCTTTGGGGGGTGGGACATTTCTCTGCGGACCACCCGGACCACCATTTGGTGACCACTGCGCTAAACACCGGCAGCAAGAAAGGTCACAAAAGGGAGGGGGAACTCAAGTATCTCACTTAGCAACATAAATTTTGAGCCCAATTGTGCTCGTAAGTAGAGGACAAGCTGTATTTATGACAGTCGCCGTGTCCGGGGCTCCTGTGATCCCCTTTTGTGACAAGCAAAGTTGACTTGACAACCAGGTGACTAACTTAACAACGGCAGTGATTCTCTGGGGCAGAATAGGTCATAAAGTGGGGGAATGACTCACTTAACAATTTTGCTTGCTTAACCGTGGAAATGTTGGCTTCAACGCTGATGATAAGTTGAGGACTCTATCTATCTATCTATCTATCTATCTATCTATCTATCTATCATCTATCTATCTATCTATCTAATCTATCATCTATCTATCTATCTATCTATCTATCTATCTATCTATCA